TCGTGGGAGTGGGCGCTATAGAAGTCGTGGGAGTGGGCGCTATAGAAGTGATTGAAATATTATCATCATTACTATTATTACTATTATTACTATTATTATTATTATTATTATTGTTCTTATTATCATTACTATTATAGTTATACTATTTTAACGATTATTATTGCTATTTGCAATATATTCTAGAATACCCCTTAGACTTCAGGGCAGATTTATTAGCCCTACACGCATACTATGAATATGATTTAAGACAAACAATATAACGAGAAAATAAGGTCTCATAGTAAATGATAATGCTTTCCACTTATTTCAGATTGTTTCTTATATGCAAGACAAAACTCATTTTAGAAATGGAACTTCCTAAAAATTCTAAATGATATCAAAGGAGGACACATTTTACCTTTTTCTTTTAGTTTCTGAATGACTGTGTTCTTTTTGCCATGAAGCACAGCAATGAAGTATTTCCCATGCTCCAACTTCTTGAGAACACGCACCCACGGCCCTAGCTGGTGCACAGTATCCTCATCCACCGAAACCTTCATCAGAGTCGTATCTGTGACGTGAAAAGACGCCAAGTGGATAAGAGCTTGTCCTAATTTTCCAATCTCACAGAAATATCGAGTTTTAAGCCTCGACAGGCTTAGCAATTGGTAAGTCAGATTTACTAATCAATTGGTACATAATCTTCAGTTGAATATATCAAATAAAAAGTTAAAAGAAACAGCTAGGAATATAGCAACAATGAGAGATGTACGGGAGTGACAATGAGCAAAGATGATACATCACAAGTAAAGGTACTAATGACCGGGAAATAGAGACCATTTGCATACATATGGTCGCTTTTAAGCACAAGGGGGCTATCCTGAAAAATGCTGTTTTGAGAAAATCGGAGGTAAAGTTTTTGGACCCTTGTTCAGTTTCTTTAAAATACGGGGAGAGTTTTCTCTTATGACCAAACATATATTATACACACCAATGAAATCAAACTCCTCCTATAGATAGGGTCTTTCCCGCTGTCGGTGTAGGTCAAGATTTCTGGAAACCCCCGAAATCTGGGTTAGCCCGCGTGTCCTTAAAAGTGACCATATAGGTAAACGTTTCTTTGAAAAGACTTGAAGCACACAACCATAGCGCCATTAAAACAGTAGAAAACCATAAAACTAAGGCTGAAATGCAGATTCTTCACTATTCTAACATAGATAGAAGAAGCACGACGCCTTGGGAGGGGGTTAGGGACCCTTAAAGAGACGTCATCTATGTCCAGTTGATTTAGATTTCCTCTAATATTCAAAACAATATAACTTGAATGACTAATAAAGAAAAAACAACAACAACCACTGAAACATCTTCAAGAAAAAACAAAGGACAAGAAATGGATAGTGTTGTGAAGTTGAGTTTTAATTTCCAAGGATTAGAATAACCATAGCTTCAGTACCCCGGGAATAGATCACACAAAGGTGTTTATTGGTAACCCAATCAGTTTAAAACGGCGAAATAGTACTGAAATTACTACTACTACTACTACTACACTACTACTACTACTACTACTACTAATAATAATAATAATAAATTGCATTTATATAGCGCATTTCCACAAAGAAGTGCTCAATGCGCAGTACAATAATACAAAGAACATAAAAATTATGCAGCGCACAGCTCCTATAGTAATCTTCTCTTCTTTCTCTCTCTCTCTCTCTCTCTCTCTCTCGCTCTCTCTCTCTCTCTCTCTCTCTCTCTGTCGCTCTCTCTCTCTCTCTCTCTCTCTCTCTCTGTCTCTGCCTCTCTCTCTCTCTCTCTCTCTGTCGCTCTCTCTCTCTTTTCTCTCTCTCTCTTCTTCTCTCTCTATCTTCTTCTCTCTCTCTCTCTCTCTCTCTCTCTCTCTCTCTCTCTCTCTCTCTCTCTCTCTCTCTCCCCTATGTTGTATACATAACAAAAGACAACCTTGGTGGTCTACGTTCTCTTGAACAAGGATTTCTTCCATGGCTAGAGCCACTCTGATGCACTGGGCCAGGCTGAGACAGCGGTCCGCGTAGGCTACAGCCAGGCCACCCACTCCTTCTCCACGCAACAGCGCCACTTTGTCCAAGGCTCCCATAGCTTTCAGCAACTCTATCAGAGCTGAAATGGGATAGTTGATCAAGTAATATAATTGGACTCAAAGAATATAAAACAGTATTCTACCGCAGCGAGGTTGAAAACTCGCACAATAATTATAAACTAACAGAAGTACCTTCTCAGATTACAGGAAAACTTTCTTTTGTCGTAATTCATTTTGGATGAGATAATGCATAGGGTAATTCTACGAATCTTAAGAAACCACGAAAGCGTAAAGATCACACTTAGGATTACATTTACATAGCATAATGCCAATAGCGTAACCTTGTATTATGCAACGTGCAGAAGTAAAAAATGTAACAAAAGTCCAGGAACACAACACGCAAGGAATCAAAAGGGGTAAACGTTTTTAAATTATGAATGGAGCAAGGGAACAATAGACCTAAGGATAAAGGGAATCAGTGCGTTTGAACTCCCCTCTTTAATCAATTAAAAACATTTATTAACACGCTGCAATAAAGTCTCGCGTCATTCATTGAAACACATCCACATCAATACACGAGTGTGAAATAATTTTTCAGCCTTTTTGGATACCAAAGCAAAGGGTGATTCCCATATAATCAAGCCTGTCGACTATTAATACATGAAACATACCAATTTGACACGATAGTCTCAAAGTCAAGCCACCAGTTTCTATAGGTGATGGTACTTTGATAGATTCCAGCATGGTTGGAATGCCATCTCTGTCTGGTTTCAACTTGATCACCTCCTGTAAAGATTAATATTTTTTGACAAGTTAGAGATAAACATTAAGCATGTGTTCCTTACCTTACTCAAAAATTATCTTCGATCAGAGGTTTAAGCCTGTCATGAGCCGTTTGGTTGGGTAAAAAGAAGCACATCGATACAGCAATGCAGTCATTTGGTGAAGGGTACTTCACATAAAAGTTTTCAACAATAATAATAAAAAAGGCACTGTCACAAAATAGCATTAAAGAACAAAAGAAAAGGTAACGCATTTTTATTTTCATCTTCGCTTTTCCCCGTGAAAGTCTTAAAGGTAAATAGCTACTGTATAAGCAGAGCAGTGAAACCAACTTTTGAACACTGTTCCTATTTTCATTGGAGAACTTAACTTTCAGGAACCACGCCACATTCACAGTGTGAAACGAATAAGAAAAAAACACAATAACATTCCGCATTCAAGTTTCTTCTTTTATAAATAAGTTCACCTAGACAAACGCTGTCGTTCCTTCGATCCTTCGATTATGGTATAATCGAGCACGAGAAAGACAAGCAAATTAAATGCACTTAAAGTAGACCATAGACATGATCTCAGATCGTGGATGTCGTGGCCGCCGCGTGTCACTATTTATTTTCTTTTTTTTTAAATGTCTGCACTGATGCTCACCATGGGCGCCCAAATGAAGAGTAAAATACCAGTCTAACTATAGTCAAGTGCAAGCGCAACCTCCATCAGTTAAGTGCGCGCACAACCTTCTTTCCTCGCCCTTCATTTTGTTCACAAAAAAGTCAAATGGAATGCTCCACAGTCAATCGGAATTACGTGGAAGTGCACTGTCTAGGACACTAAGTTTAAAGGTACAAGTCTTTGGATCTGACTTTAGCTCGTCCTTCGCCTTAGAATCTCTCTTTAACGCACTTTCCTGTCTGGCGGACAATGTGACCTGTTATCAAAATGGCCTTTTTTAAGTCAAGAAGGTTTTCAGAATCAACGAAAACGAAAGTTGAAGACCCTATTCCCATTCACCTGATCGCAGAGCTCGAAAGTTTGGCGCACTGACGGGATATTCATCAAATCCTTACTAGGGCTCCATGGGGAAGAAATCATATCAGTGAAGACAACGCAAACTGGGGTGACTACCGGGTCCATGCTTGAGACATCAAAGTACTGCAATGAGCCTGAAAATTTGTGAAATGATGAAATGGTTTAAGTTACCGTCCCTATCATTAGGTTATTTAAGAAGCGGGACCCCCAAGTTTAACATCTGTCTCCGAAAGGACAGAGCCAAAAGATTTGATTGATTGAGTAGGTGTTTTACGGCACTATCGACCCAATTCCGGTCATCTAAGTGCCAACAGGTTTCACCGTAACAAATCTAGGATCAGTCGCGTTTCAGCAAATGGAAAATTCGTGTAAAGTGTCTTTCCCAAGAACACAATGTTGGACTGAACTGAGGCTCGAACCCCTGAACCCACAATCTCACGATTACCGATCTGGTAGCCTAGTCACTAGACGATTTTCGCCGATTGAAAATAATGTATCTACGTGTACATTTATTATCTGAAGCAGTACTAATACTTCGCATTAAGTACGTGCAGCTTACTATCAGTAACAAACAACGCAGTTACAAACTTTCATTTATACTTCGCATTACTTATGTGTAAAAGGCGTTTACAATCTTTCACTTTTATTTACTTTTTTCAGCAAAACGTCTCACGTTCCGCGTCGTCTGAATCAGAGGTGCCGATTTTTCAGCGAGCTAAGTTAAAAAGTACAGATCAGTGCCTTATCCTAAACCATCAATAATTTACTTTTGAGGAACCAACTCTCTATGTTTAGTTGCTGCTTTTGCCTCTTTCTTTTTTTTTTCTTTCTATTCATTTTCCTTTCTATGTTTATAAATCCCGTAAAGGAGAAAATCGTTATATCGCCAGGTGATGAATACAGATCAGTTCGTCACCCGTACTCCTAATAGACTGATTGTGGACAACATTCCAGGAAACATTTTTTTTAGGTGTTCAATAACTCGGTGTGAACAATAGTATATTATTGACTCTAGGCTGTATAAGCACGCATGTCTAAAGACTGTTTCTCCAAAAGAAAATTGTCGTGGGGTTAGTTTTGATAACGTTCGAAGTCTACAGTTTTGATCCTGTTCTGATTTTCAAAAGTCCGGGTTAAAAAATCGCTGCAGAAGGCCTGAATCAGACGGTATGTTTTTCCTAGATTAACTGTTAAGGGGGGGAAATAAAGGAATTGCTTCACACAGTCAAGTTTCTTTTCTAATTTATAGAGACAAAAGAACTCATTAAAAGGCACTTAAAAGTAGCATCTCATATGAGAATATACAGTGCACAATCGGACATGTAATTTAAAAGAATGCATGGGCGGAGCCCATGACAAATGCCCGGGACCTGTGCCAAAAGGACAACGCAGCGAAAGAGGGAGACAGCATACAGGGCCAAAAAGGGCAAAAACGCACAGAAATAATCCTCTTTGAATTCAAGCACCTGGCAAAGACATGTCACAATCTGGTGCAAAAGTTGAATAGTGAAAAACAACCCCTTGCATTATGTTTTAAAATCCTTTCAACAACAAAATACTTGAACTTTTGACTGAGTTACCTTTGTCAGAGTTGACAATGAAAAAACTCCTTTCCCACATAGCATTCCCTTTACTGAGTTCAGAGTTGAGAAAGAACCTGTAAAAGCTTGGATCTCCCATGTGTCTGAGTATGTCTATTGCTGCGTCTTGGAAATTCGCATACGGCTGCAAGGTCAGTGGAATCAACATAGGACCTGGGACAAAGAAAAACAACATGTGTAGTCATACATAATCATAACTCAGGAAACTTTTTGAGGAAACAATCACAGTAAAAACAAGAGACACAACAGAACAGCCCAGTAGAGATACAGGTTTTTAATAGGGGAACAGTTATTTTTAAGGCAGCGAATGTATTTGTTGTGTTTGTGTACTGTCTACGTTTAATGATCGTACAGCACTCAGAGCGTGTTTCTAACATAATAGAACGCTATAAAAATGCTATATAATATATTATTATCATTATCGTTTTTACTATCATTATCATTCTTTTATTATTACTTACAATCCGCTATCTGGGTCACTGTGTCGGGACATCTGCGGAGGACGGCATGACCACCGAGGCCCCCAAAGCCAAATGAGCTCACTGCCATGAGTCCATTAGGATCTAATGGAGTAAAGAGAAAAACATCGACATGAGTAACGGTCATTTAATGCATTGGGGAAAGAAATATACAAAGACAGATATTACTATAGCCGAGGGAAAGGGAAAAAATATGACCGTCCATTGATGTCCTCTTCTCCTCCCCCACCCCCTCTCTCCCTTAAACCGTCATCAAGGATCTGTGCATGAGAAATGCGGGCTGACAACAATACCTCCCCACTTCCCCCAGTCCAAAGCACATGTGACGCACTGGAGAAGCCGACATGTAATTGCGAGTGTTTTACGCTCTCATCGACGTCCTGTAGATCATTTGGGAGGCACGCTGCTTTAACCTTGCCTGTCAGAGCTCACCCAGGCTGAGTGATAAAACGTTCCCCAGACGAACGGAGACGTTCGATAAAAAGCTTCCTCCCCACATGAGAGAGGAGAGAGATCAGGATATGATTGTTTGTTTGAGTAAAGAGAAGCACATCAACACAATAATGGTCATTTAGTGATGGGGGAAAGCAAGACAAACAGACAGAAACAACAGAGGTAAAGTCAAGAAGCAGGACCTACCTGTGGCGCCCTCCAACCACCAGCTCACAATCAGAGTCACGCACACTCTCATGGAGCCTCTTCCAACACTTAAAAAACCGGCATCGCACGGCAGAGAGAGAGAGAGAGAGAGAGAGAGAGAGAGAGAGAGAGAGAGAGAGAGAGAGAGAGAAAGAGAGAGAGAGAAAGAGAAAGAGTGAGAGAGAATAGATGAGAGAGAGAGAGAGAGAGTGAATGAGACAGAGAGAGTGAGTAAGTCCGCTGAAAAGAGTGAGTGAGAGAGAGTGAGAGAGAGAGTGAGAGAGAGAGAGGGAGATGGGGAGAGAGAGGGGGAGAAAGAGTATAAGTACAGAGGAGCACGTTTAAACTAGAACAGCCAGTATGTGCAAGTAAAACGCAAGACACGCAGAATCAAAATAGGAGGGAAAGCAAAGAAGTATAAATTACCAGTGATACTCTTTGATCACCTGCTCATAGGTCCAGCTTTTAAATAGTCATACATAAGATTAAGGATATTGATGTAATTGAGTGTATCCACAAGAATCATTTTAGATTCGTGCGACTCTTCAAAAGACATAATACGGTTTCAACAAATTCAAACAACATAATCAAGGACAAAAAAAAGAATAATTACTTTCAGGGACAGGAAAGTTTGAAGTAGGTATCACAATTCTCCCACTCTTAAGTGCATTACTGGCAGGGTTGGGCACTTGAAAGTTGACGCAGTTGTAGATGATCTTCGTTTGAAAAGATATGATGCATTTCACAATGCTGGCCAGACCTGAGGATAATGCGATTTTTATTTTTTTATTTTTTTTAACCCATGAGTCTACACTCAGGTTGAAATAAAAGACAACCAAAACTTATTAACAATCAAATAGATAAATCAAACAAATAAATCACAGAACACATGACAAAACTAACCATGGAAACTGTAAGGAAAAAACAAAGAATTTCTTGTCATCAGCTTGTGGTGTAATAAAACTGTCGTGTAAGAATACGACTTAAGCACATTAAAAAAAATAGTTTGCATTGCAACCTGGCGCAATTGCATGTCAATCGTAATTTATAATGTGTTGCACAGTCAGATTCCATAAGCCTTCCAGTGATTTGTGTTAACAGCAACTACAACAATAGCATTTGGAATCTAACATGAGGTGATCAGTATCATCTGCAAAGTTAACTGGTAAGAACTTTTATTGAAACTCTTGACCTTTCTAAAAATGTAATAAGCCCCAAAAGAAGAAAAAAAGGGGCATGGGATGTACAGTGGCATATTATACCAGTCCTTACCAATGAGACTTCGATAATCACTTATTATAGTAGAGTTTTGGGTCAAACTGCTAAAATTGAATGAGTCAATTTTATATCTCACAGCAATGTACTAAGCATAATAATACTTTAAAACCGTGATATAGCGAATGGGTACTGGCCACTTCTAGGCATTGTACGTCTATTCTTAGTCCGGTGAAGTAGGAGAAACACACGTCAATAAATGGAATTTGTTTGTTTTAGAAGAGGTTTTGTGGCGCTCGCAACTGCAAACGGTCATATGAGCGCCAAGGGGAGGATGTCAACAGAGAAGTCCTTACAGGGAATCAGACTTACTCTGCTCACCTCTCTAGCTGCAACAGCACAAAGACTGCTTCGACTATAAAGGCACCCCGGAAATAGCGGGTCACAAGAGTGTGACAAACATACAAACGAAGTAGAGGAAAATGACGATAGTAAGGATTAGGAAAGAAAAGGCAGCAGTTCTCTGTTGTAGTTAAGGCACAGGTATGAGCATGACATTGTTGGATCAGCCCATTTACAATTCTACTATGCATTAGCACGAGAAATGCCCCCCCCCCCCCTTTTTCGGGAACGGCTTAAAGACACTTCAGTCTGTGGCACCGCCCCGGGAGGAGGGGGGGGGGGTTAATTAAATGGAAAAGGAGCTAACCATAAAATAATTCATGATCTGCAGGAATATGGAAAAGAAGAACACAGTCAGTTTGAGTTCCCTCATGCTCCGACTAAAAAGTTAACGAAAACCTTTCCTGGAAAATACCGTCTTTTATAAACAGAGACCACCAGGCAACAACAACTGAGAGTTATCTGCTGTTCTTCTGACCTGAGGTAGCCTCTGTGTGCCCAATGTTTCCTTTCACAGAGCTCACAATGAGAGGGTCTCTTCTCCTTGAGCATATTACGGCATCAATTGCTTTCAATTCAGCTTCATCGTCTTTCTGTGGGGAAAGTGATAGACTCAGCAAACACTAGAGCACATCATGAGGTAATGTCAAATTTTAGTTTAGTTTTAGTAGAGGTTTTACGGCGTTCGCGACTGCATAAGGTCATATGAGCGCCAGAACATTAGAGGTGTTACAAGAGAGTAACAAACATAAAAAAGAAAAAGGGGAGATAAGGACGATAGATGTTTCATAGGAAAGAAGAAGCAAACCACACCAGAGCACCCGCCAACCATCCACGTGATAGCAACTTTGGAACAGGAGAAAGCACCATAACAAACAGAGAAATAACATGGGTGTAGGGGTGGAAGCACATGCAGAAGTGGTCAATGTTAGCTTAAATAGATATTATACATTGAGTGTATGTATATATATAACAACAGCAAATCCCAGCGAGTCTGCATAATACACCCACGCTGTGTCACTCACAAGTAACAGATAAAAACAATTTTTAGAAACAGAAAAGAAGGAGATAAAATAAAACAATTAGCCTTGTGTTTCAAAATGTAAAGTGAAGGATGACTTGTAGAAATTCAATTATCTCATCATCATCCTAGAGCACTGATCGGTTGTTGTTTTGTTTATTTTAAATTAGTTTTAGTAAGAGGTTTGCGGAACTTGCAACACAATAAGGTCATACAAGTGCCGAAGATTAGAGGTGTTACAGGAGTGTAACATACATAAAAAGGGAGGAGGAGAGAGAAGGGCGATAGATGTTTGATAGGAAAGAATGAGCAAACCACACCAGAACACCCGCCAACCAACCACGAGCATTGATCTGATTGTCAATGTTGTCATTTCATATAGGAGTCCGTTATAATTTTAATGATGGTATAACCACAGGTTGTAATTTGCTAGTTATTTCTAAAGGGTGTATTCTCATAATGTTTGCCTCCAGTCTATAATAATAAATTATACCAAGTGAAAATCAACGAAGGGTTGTCTATGGCCAAACTGGGGCCGTTTTCATAAGGACAAACAAGAGAATCAAAATACCGTTTTATTGATCCCCGCATGGCAATTGTGGTTACAACGATCAACACAATGCATTTATAATGATACGCAATGTTATATGACACCATTACATGTGATGTAAAGAGCATGTCATAATTATGTGGTCGCTGCTGTACAGTGCCCTGCATTTGTTTTTGTATTTTTTAGCTAAGGTCATCGTGTTCTGCTCTCAAGGACACATTTCATTGACCATTCACCAAACTGTCGTGTAACTGATTTTGCTAGATTTTTTTTATTAACCTGAGCCATTGACCCATCATCCTGTGATTTAAAGTCTCGAACCAAAAGAAAAAAGAAAGTATTGTCACCAAAATGCCATATTTTTTAACATACCAAATACAGTATAATAAAGTGGTATCAGCAAGGCAACACTTTATGCGTAGAATAAACTTAGGAAGTGGCCTAAAGCAAGAATACAAACTACGTTGTCTCCTCTTTGACATTATCGCTTACTTGGAAATCAAACTGACATGTAATTCAAATTTGTATTTTCGCAGCGACCTGTGTTTTTTGGCATTGTGTAGAAGGACGATAATACCTTCTGGGAAGACTTTTTGTCTCCTTTTTCTTTCTTAGTTCAGAAGCTACAAACTCGAATGCCAAACTGTTTTTAAACATTTTGTTTTTCGAAACAACGGTATTTTGTTAACGACATCTAAAGGAAATCATCACTCTGTGTGATGTCAGTCACCTAGTGGTTATAGGATGTTGGGCTCGCAATTGAAAGATCAGGGGTTCGAACCCCCGTCAAGGGCTAGACGTCGTGTCCTTGGGAAAGGCACTTTACACAAATTTCCATCACTTCAACTTGGGGGTAACGGGGACTCGGCTATAGATGGTAAAAGATCTTTATCAGGTTGGGGTTTTTTCGTCTTTAAGTGCTTTATCAGCCACTTGTATACTTTCCGGAAGCTGAAAATGTATCTCAATATTCCAGGTTTAGCCGGGGTACTAAAATCAGATTGTAAAGAACAAAGAGCATGTTGCTGAGCAGGGAGATGCGCTATGGAAATGCTATTCATTACTTGTCATTTTTTTCTCACCCCTCCCTCTCCTTTCCATCAAAAAGAATCCCCCCCCCCAAAAAAAAACCCCAAAAAAACCCAAAACAAATAATGTTAAAACACCAAACTAACATAAAAGCATACTAATTTTAACTCTACTGATTGGATAATTGAGCGATTCTTGCATAGTGTCAGTCTTCAAATAATGAGGTACGGGCCTGTCAAATGCTTTGTTATGAACCGAATTAGTTTTCAGCATACATTATTCTGATTCCCATAAGTTACCCGGTTGCATGCACCATGCGCTTCGAAGCAAACGATATCTTTGACGTCGATATTGAACTCAGTGTAGACATCATTCAAGAGTCGTGACTGGAACTCGTAACTTGGACGGACGATTCCTGAATGAAATTTTAAAAAAGCAGCTTTAGATAGTTTCGTTTCCGTAAGAGTTTTACGGCACATGCAACACAATTAGAGTATATTATAAGTGCCGGAGATCAGAGCTGTAATTACAGAGTAGTATACTAAGAGTAGAAGAAGAAGAGCAGAAGGACGGCAGATGTTTGATAGAAAAAAGGAGCAAACCACGTCAGAGCACACGCCAACAACCTACAAAACCAGTTTTAAAACGTTCAAATTAGCAAATTACTAACATGCCCAAAAGTGTATGCCATGGATCAATTTATTATAAAAATAAGACTTCTTTACTAATCTGCTGTTTATCTAGATTTTTTTTGTACCATGCACAGTGGCAACCATGTTAGTAACATTATCCTCAATGGATTTATTCATTTATTAATATAATCAGATGAAATTAGTTAGTTTTAGTTTTAGTTTTAGTAGAGGTTTTGCGGGGCTCGCAACTGTTTAAGGTCATAAGAGCGCCAGAAGATTAAAGGTGTTACAAGAGAGTAACAAACATAAAAAAGAAGGGGAAATAAGGACGATAGGTGTTTGATGGAAAAGAAGAAGCAAACCACACCAAAGCACCCGCCAACCACGCACACAGAGGAAATTAAGTTTGTCCTTTTTTTTAGGACTTATGAGACTTGTCAAAGAGCAACACATTTTGTCACACATCGTTTGCTGCATTGCTAGGAATGCCTTGTAATTGTAGAAGCTCTACGCCCACATCGACACGATTCATTTGCTCGTTTAGTGCGCGGGCTGCTTAGAACTTTCCCATGAGGACCAACCTAGGCTGGGAGGTATACAGCGTCCCATCAGAAAGGTGGTAACACCCTGTAAAAATTCTGCCCACACCATAGATGCCTTTAAACATGTCTTGAAATAAGGTGAGAGATCAAAAACAAGGATGTCTGGACTGTATATTACCTTTCAAAGCGCGATGCAAAATTATTTGCTTTGCTTTTTATGCAAATGTCACGAGTTCGATTCCAGAGTGAGATAGGTTTTCTACTGCCTGGTGGGATATATATATATATATATATACATCTATGAGGAATGTCATACGGCTCACCTTTTTCTCTTGATCCCCCACACTGTAGGCCGAAACCAACTACATCACAGTAGCCCCTTGCAGGCAAAACACAATCACTTCTGTGGATGGTTAACAACCTGTAGTTTTATGTCAGTTAAGAAAAGCGGTCTATCAAGAACCTGGAATACAGATTACGCCTGCTGCAAACCAGATGAACACTAATGTAATAACGGAGCCGGCAGCCAAGCAGAAAACCATTTATTTACTACAAGCCTGACCAAGGCATGAAGCACTTAGAAAGGAATAATATTGGCAAAAATCCTAGGCAGAGAGACCCAGAGCTCTACATGAGCCTGGAGGACTTGCTGCGAACAGCACACTTTGCACTTCAGAACGAGATGCCCTGTAAAGATAAAGCAGAAGAAGCCAGATAACACACATAGCTTAAGTATTGATCGAACATAAATATAACTATTACTGTACTTACGGTTTTAGTAAAAGAGCAACAATCCCATCAGAACGGACGTAACCGTTTGCCCTTTGGTCAAAAGGAGTACTCTGACCATCTGGACTCAGCAGCCTCGCCCTGGCAAGTCGCAAAGATACAACTGGATCCAGAATTAAGTTGGCACCTGCGAATAAGAATCCACGGCATAGGTAACACAACGAAAAAAAAAGGAATTATTTTACATTGGCCTATGAACAAAGAATTTTTTTTTTCAAAACTTCACAAAGCCCCATCATAAAAGCAAGACATCCCCCCTCCACACACACACACACACACACACACACACACACACACACACACACACACACATACACACACACACACGCACAATACAATTTGAGTGATACACTGGAAGAAGCTACGTGATAAGTCCCACATGCATGTTACTATTAATCAAGACGTCTTCTGTCGATTTCCTGCAGCTTTAACATTGCCCTCCCAAATGGGTTTTTTATGCTTGAAAAAAAAAAGGGGGGGGTATTCCGATGTGGTTAGTATTTTGGAAAGAAAAGTACACCTAATGATAAATTACAATCTATATCAATATCTGTAATATTGAGAGCTTTACCTGCCACAATGGCCAGATCACATCTGTTGGTCCTAATGTCCAACAAAGCAGCATGGAGAGCAGCGAAGGATGAGGCACAGCCCCCGTCTATGTTCTGCACGGGGCCTTTCAGGTCGAATTTTTTTGCAACCCTGGAGCTCAGCTCACTGCCTGTGTTGACTGATATAATAAAAGAGAATTTTACAAATTAAAGTAATATTTTCTCCTCTTTTTTTAATTATAGGGGCATGTGTGTTCTACGCAACTTAAATAATTTGAGGGGCGAGCTGTTGCGACTCTGCCTGCCAATCCGGGCTGAGAGGGGTACATTATCTCTGCATTAAGACGAAGATACTTTGTTAAAAAAAAAAACAACCTCCCCATTAAGAAATTTAATTAAACTCGCCTCCTCTGTGCTGAACATTACGTTATTTCAACAACGGCTGAAGACACGCTGTTTTGGGGGGACTTAAATAACTTCTTCACAAATACAAATTTTTCAATTCATGTTTTCTTAACTGATATTTTAAAGGTCAGTCGAAAGTTTGCCTACTATGAAATACACGAAACCATGTTTCTGATTTGTATGTTGTGGTTGGAAATGAGGCTGAATATTGCCTGTGGTCAGCCGCTGTAGCCACAGACATGTTATGTGTCCGGTACGCCATTAAATAAAGAGTTTGTTACACTACAAACCTCGGTAAAACAATTTGTGAACACCGCCATTTTCTACGGGTTTGTTTGGTTTTTTTGCTTTGATGCTTTTGGTATTTGTTCTTCTAAAAATTGTATTTGATTTTTTTCTATCTATTTCGAGAAGGGTGAGTGGTAGCCTGATCTTTAAAAAAGAAAACAACAAGCAGTTTGATTGTGCAACACTTTGCTTGGCTCCTGTGTGAAAAGTGACCCCCCATCCCCCTTCTGAAAAAAACAGCCCCACTTTCCTTTTGAAAAAGGTCGCTAAAACCGAAAAATGGAACTTACCTTACATTTGAACTTCAATAGTCCACCCTCTATTGCTAGACAAGGGTTTACATTCTGAGCTTTACAGTAGCAAGGATATAGGGGGGGAAACAGCCTGTTAAGTCACACGGGTCAAAACTCCGAACTAGTTTTGTTTTACCCTGCTCTTAATACGAACGACCCCCCATTAAAAAAACCGAAAACGAGCGAGTGTGTGGGTGTGTCGTCTTACTGCTTAGGTTCAGCCTTGTGCGACTCAGTCACGGAGTTTCTCATCCAGTAATAATACGTAATCCTATTCATTTAGACTACACGTAGTCTGACAACTTAATGTATTATTGTAAGAGAGACGACCACGGTGCGCTGTACTTCTGTCGCCCATCTATATTACTGACGTTTACACTTTTTGCACTGCTGAGTTGGGAGTTGTTGGCGAAGATCTGAATAATAAAACCACAATTCGTTAATCATACTTTCCTACAGCATGTATCTAGCGGGGTTCCGGGTGTAGAAATTTTGAATTGTGGTCTATCTTTGCACTTCCTCACCACTCAGAAACATTCTCGGCGTCCCAGGGAGCATACAGTGCAAGCTGCAGATTGCACGCACTCATTCACTAACAAATTGACAAGATATTTCGCTCTCTATTGCCGGACATCCATTTCACTTGGGTGAAGTTAGGGAAAACTCTCATAAAGTACCTTTATCAAGGACAAGACGTCGGGTCCCTGAAGGGATTCGAACCCACAACCTTACAATAATTGCGAGTTCAAAAGCTTACCCACTAGACCAACGACGCCATACTTACAACAAACTATTATAATGGTTGCTAGGTAAAGAATATCATGGTACATGGCACTTGCACATAATAAAAACATCGCAAAGACAGTAAGTATGAAGTGAAGACGCGATACTTACAGTATTCAGAAGGACTTGAGAAGGGTCCTGTTTTTATATAGTCGGTGTCACATTGGGTCATGCCCAAGTAAAATCCCGTTTTTCGATGAGAGACTTCGGCAAATGTCAGTCCAGAGTCCATGATGCACTCAGCTACAACCTCCAGAAGCGGCCCGAGCATGTGATTGCTGCAGAAAGCCTGCAATATTGTTAGAAGCCAGGTTACTTAAATAATTCATCAGCTTCACAATTATATACAGGCATAGCATGAGAAGCTCCTCTACTTTTCGTTACCTTCGCCAGAGACTTAATGCTAAAACGTGACCAATGGAAACTCAAGACCGGTAATTTGAACTACGACAAAAAATGTACAACTTAGCCACCAAGTAGAGACAGTGCATTGAAAAAAATTTGAAGGACAATGGCTTAAGTACATTTTTTTAAACTTTTAACTTTGAATATTATACCTCAATGCTTATCAAACAAAGCACGGCGGGCGACTGAAGGGTGCTTTGATGTGATCTGCTTATTCTCTCCTCTCAAACATCTATCCTTGTCTTTTTGGTCGTCACTCTCTTGTGACACCTCTGATCATTGGCATCTATATGACATTGTGTTGCCATTGCCGTAAAACTCTTGTTTAAACTAAAACAAAACAAAGCATCTTTTGGAAAGAATCTTAGCACTGTTGTCTGTTTCAAGTAATGGTTGATGCCGGGTTTTTAAAAAAAGAGGACCTATTTAGAAAGCACTAACTCCGTCATCATTCGACCGATTTCGTAGAAACTTTGAAGAAATGAAATTCAACCGGGGATATATTACATTTGTCAAAATGAAGCAAAGCAACCATCATGTTCGAAAAAAACCAAGTTTTGAAAATTTCCACCAAAACTGAGTCAAACGCAAAACCTTGCAACTTTTTATAAATCTACCATACCGATCATTGCATTAAAGAACAAATGTATGCAAAATATTGTATTGCCAAATAAACCCAGGGACCTGACGGCTACTTATAGTTCCAGGGATTGACCAATTCTCTCCATGCAAGCTCCGCTATATACCACTGGAAATTTTGAATATCACCGTGGCGTGTTTTGAGGTCGATTCTTTGGACATCCTGTTGAACATTGAATTTCAACTGTTCAATCGTTTGTGGTTTGTCTCCGTAGACTGTCAAAAAAGCACCAAAGGTTATAATTTAAAGAGCTCAAGTTTCGGGGAATGTGGTAACCATTCATTCGAAAACTTTCGGCCCATAAAGGGTTCCACAAACCTTTCTAATAACCACATGAAGGCCACTCTAGACATTTGGGGTGTTGCCCCATCCGACTGGAACCAGGCCTCTGCAGCATAACACCTTCTCCTCCAGAAAACCTCTTCAAAACTTTCTCAGCACGGTGAGATATCTATCTGATGTGACTGTTGTGGATTTATCATCCCCTTTGTTGAATGTTATTTGTTCGAAGTTTTGTTAAAATTAATGTACTATTGACTGAGTTATTGCCCTTTAAGTGGGTCCTAATTTTTAGACATCCTGTATGAGAGACAGCTGCCATTTTATGGCTGGCGCCATTAGAACTAGAGGGCGGAAAATTATGTCCCGCAATAGGTTTTTTGTTGTATCATCTTGATCAACAAACAGGATTTTGTATCTTTTCAGAAACACTTCTTATGATTCTAAAATTTTACTGAAACGTGTTCCTTAATGGAAATTACAACTGTGCCCCGTTTCTCAAAGTGCGTAAATACTTGACCTCCAACGGAGAAACGTTGAAAAATTGACAGTCCATCTCTCCAACCGAATCCAACCGCCCACATTTGTGCCTCATTCCAAACACCCCAGGAGGCCATCGAGGATCTGCAAGGTTACAATGACCAGCTTTCAGAGTATAGGACAACTCCTGAAATTGAAAAAAAGAAAACGAGGGACACTTACTTGGACTACTGCCCTTTTCTTTTTTTTTTTCTTTTTTGCTGCCCATGAAAATAAACACTCATACTTTTCAAAGCACACATTTAAAAAATTCAGACTGCATGAGTGCTAAACAATACATTTTTATAGCCCTTCATTGATACTAATACAGAGGTGTCAACTTCGTTTCACGAAGTAGTGGAATTCACTTTTACTTTTGATATGAAAAGGGCAACGTACATAATGTTACGTCAATACTTTTAATAAGAAAGTGGCTATTCTCACCCGCCCGGAAGTTCTCGCAAGATCAACTCCTCCCCTCTTCTCTCTCTCTCTGTCTCATTCTGAATACTGTCTATCGGTGTGGACGATCAAATTGACCAAAACAAAGTTAAAAAATGATGTTAAAACACAAAAGTAAATTAATTTGGTTGTCTACAAAGATGCTACGGCTATTTAACTTTTCGAATCGAGCCGAACTACGCGGGTCGCCATTTTGTTTTGCCCGGAAATTCTCGCGCTACTCCTCTCTCTCTCTCTCTCTCTCTCTCCACTGCCCACAGACAAAATTGTACGCTTTTAGTAGGCTACAGTTGTAATGGAACGTTTGTTCACGGCACAGAATTCTACAATTTTTCTGTTATCACAGTGTAGAATTCTGTGGTTTAGGGTGAACGCAAAATTTGGTGAACGCGCACCGGGTGAGAATAGCCACAAGACTCGCCTGCACTATTCTCACTCCGGGTGAGAATAGAGGTGGCCTTTAATAAGATCATTTAAAAACCTCATACTTACATCAATGTCGTTTGCCTGTGGTAGCCGGAAACCCAAGCCCGAAATGCAAGCAAGGCTTTTGAGCGGGCTATGCGGCGTGCTTGCCGCGTCTGCACTCATCTCTGCAGAAATTAAAACCACAAAGACTCACTTCGCGAACATGTTCACTAGAAAGGTCCAGTCGGTGGAATAGAAGATGACCGTCACAAAACGCCAAATAAACTGTGTGCGAAATTGTTACCTAAATATCCGGAGTTTTGTGGGACAATTTTTTAAGACTTTCTTCCCACTGTGGCCGATGTTGTCTTCAAAACAAAACTATCATGTACACACAGAACACACTGACACCTTCTATGTAAAACTGTTGAGTGAAACTCACGAAATATTTAAGCCGAGTTTGCAAGAGCATAAAAATCCAATGATCATAATAGTTTTTCTACAGCAGGAGCAGTAAGCTTTGCCTCTCGGCCTACTTGTTTACAATTTTGAGAGTCCAGCGTGTCATCACGCACACTTTGAGCTCCGAATAAGAGAGACTACAGTTTGTTAACTTTCCTCTGATCACGGTTTAAACAAGATAAAAACAAATCGCTCGGTTTAATCTTGTCAGGTCTTTGCACGCGAGTCTAAAAGTGAATGACCAACTGAATTTAAAAGCCTATTATTAATGAAAGTTTCTGCAAACTAAGGTTCCGACACGTTTTCTGTGATACAAAAAAATAATAGGGGATTTACGTGATGCACCAAAAGTAGCAAAAGGTTGGCTTATTTTAACCAATACCACACTTTAACGTAAGCCTGTGAGATACGACCCAAACGACGGGTGAGTACTTTTTGAGACTCACGTGGAGATGTCTGGACATTCTATGAAGGAAATCTACAAGCTAACACAAATCCGGGGGGAGGGGGGCGCGGTGGTGTCGCTATCTCAAAGAGAATAGCTTGCAGCAAGTTACTTTAATTATTTTTTGAGTGATCCTAAATCCTATGTATGCGTCCAAAAGGCGGTGTTTAGTATAGGGCCCAAATAGAGAAACCATTTTATTACTGGATCATGATAATTTGAAAATATGTTTTTCTTGGTCGCAGGTATACAGAAGTACCGCGCAAAGTTTCATGCTCACTGGTAAATTAATATATGAGGTAGGTATTTTTAACGCAGTTAGACGAAAGTAAACAAGCTATTGGGGACTCTATGTTATATCGATTTTCAGCTGGCTGAGCCACAAGTATTTAAGGACAGATAGGAGAGGTGGGAGTGGGGGTGCCCATTACGATCACGTTTCCAAAGCTTTTGATCAAGCTGGGTTGTTTTTTTAAAACCGTTTTTCGTTTAGCGGCATATTGGGATGTGTTGAGACTCTCTATTAGTTACCTATCAAATAGCAAATGTACTCAGAAGTGATTTGATGATTATTAACTCGTTATGGTATAGCGGAAATTTGTATAAAAGTGCCATCTGTACGTTATTCCAACGACTGTCTTTCATATTGCATCGTTTTGCTGTTTTTTTTCTTCATAATAATATAAACCTTCAAGGCAATCGGTTGATCGAGCAGGAAGACACAGTGAACTGTGATGCTCGCAATTCTAATGGTATTTTTTAATAGGACGAAATAGATAATATCCTTTCGAATGGATAAATATACCCACTCCCCTCCAAAAGTATAATTATTACTCCTCTTTCCTTTCCGATCCACGTGATGGGCAGTCCTCCCTACAAGTTACTAGTCCTCTCTGTTCACTCCTCTCCGTTCTTTTAGTGCTGTTTTTTTTTCTTTCTTGGTTGTAATTGAACGATATTGTTATTGTTGTCATCGTTGATTTTATTGCTGATATTTAACCACATATGATACGTGCCATTTTGAAGAAATCACAAATGAAGTAAATCATCAAACCACGAGTCTTAAGACGGGTAACTAGATGTAGGAATGGCAGGAAAAATAATTCGCAACCCACCGAGATTCAAACCAAAAACTTCACGAGTAAAGTCAGGCTAGTTAGTCGTATTGAGCTGTTTCAGAACAGTCTGCTTATCTTTCTTACTTCTCGATAAAGTTCCCTCTCCCCCCCCCCTCCCCCATATAATATTTCTGGCATTCTTTTCCTATAAAAATGATGCATCAGACAATGCGTGTAATATTTTGACCAGTTTGGATAATAGGAAGATATCAACTTCAAATCTTGAACTGATACATAAAACTTTCTCAGAAAGCTCAATTGAAAACTGTTGTGGATCGTGGCGACAAGGATATCGTCTCGACTCCACGAGAACTCCACAATATTTTATATTGTGAGCTTTCTCTCCCACCAGACTGAACTTAGTTCTTCCCTGGGCAGAGCACAAACGTAGCGCCCTGTCCGGACACCCAGCTGAGAAGGTAAGTACTCTTTGACGAAACTGCAAATTCTGTCTTCTCTCAGGTTTGAATCCCGAATATCTTTGCTTTGTCATCCAAAGCCCGACAACCAACAAATGTGCATTGGCGAGCACCGAGAAACACAGGGGAGTTCTTTAAAAACTAAACGCCCGAAATATAACAATAATCATAAACGAGAATACTATATTTGAATACTGATGACTACAATGAAAAATGTTGCCTGGCAATATAAAAATAATACGCGATTTGTTTTTTCTTCTTTTGTTACTTTATTGTTCGTGTTAAATCCATGGGAGGAGGGAGAAAATAGTGTTGAGATCTCCAAAAATAATGTAAAATTTCCAATGTTTGTTTCCTTGAACGTATTTGCACTCCATTTATTTTACACCTAAGATGACGTCAAGGCTTCTATTTTAGGGCTCAGGTTTTGTGCGTAAATCATAAGAGGCATCCCTCTCTATAACAAGAGTAGAATCATTAATTTTCTTAACATTTTACCAAGACCCAAGAAAGCTAATTTTTCTGATTTACACCTAGTTAAGTCAGTCACAGAAATGTGTTTAAAACAGGGGGAGGGGGGGAGTTGACCCTATGAAAAGTCCTCTTAATTCTCCTATACAACGCCTTTCTTCTTCGAAATGATCGTCCCTCTACATCTTTTTTGTTTACAACGGACCGAACGGTGATGAAACGGAATTCGAATTATGTTGAAGGTTACCCTTATGTTTAGCCTGAAATTACGTATTAAGGAATATAGATTTTTATGAAACGTTTGCCTTTCATTTGCAAGAAATAAAGAAGATTGTGGCGTACAACTCATCCTTTGCTATAACTCCAAGGGTTTTCTATCCTAAAGGCCCCCGAGTTCTCTAATGGTTTCTCTCTGTAATCCGTTCAATAATGCTTTCACATTCGCCTCTCGTGTTTGTCATCGCTTTTGCTCAGCACTGTCCTTTCCTATTCACTCCACTGAGACCAGCTATCAATATAAACGACTCATTTCACCGCAGGACAGACCAATCAGCTTGCAGCCCTTCTCAGACTTGGCGTATCCCAAAAGCCTTCCCTCTATCCGGTGACCGGAAACTGCCTCACGGGAGCGCCTTCGTTCTGAGCTAATCAGTCCAAGAACCAATGACAGCACCGGAAACAGCCATTGAAATACAGAAACGTGATCAGAAAAAGGAGCAAATTAGTTGCAGCGATACACCGAATTGGCAGCTCATCACTTCTTCAATAATCCAAAACGTTTCGTCCATAAAAGGCTGGCGCTTGAAAGAAACATAATGTGTTGCTTAACATGAAAATTTTTCATTTTGTTATATGCACTCGAGCACAATTTGTGTGTGTGTTTGAAATAGCATTTATCAATGCCCTGTGCATATTTCTTGGAAAATTGGTCACGTCATACCTCTTTCTCATTTGAATCGTCGAACCTTGCTACCACTTTTGTTTCCACTCATCTGCTTATATTTCAGTCGGAAAAAGGTGAACTATTGCTAATACATGTACTAGCTAGCAAATCCAAATCGTTAACTTATATCTTGTTTCTCATGCTGCTCGCTCTCAGGCAGCCAGTTCTAATATTTAATTTGTTTGATCTGTGTTTGTGTTTGAGTTTGTTTTGTTTGTTTGTTTGTTTGTCAGATTTTAACTGGGGTTGTTTGTTTTTTTTGGGGGGGGGTAGGTTTTGAGTGGTTGGGG